CCTGGGATTTGAATTCCCCGGGCTTCATTAGCATAAAGCCGGTTCCGCCATTTTTAAAAGCCGGCTAGTGCGAACCCCGTGCCGCGTGTAGCCGCGCGGCACGGGGTTCGCACTAGTCGGCTTTTAAAAATGGCGGAGCCGGCTTTATGCTAATGAAGCCCGGGAAATTCAAATCCCGGGCTTCATTAGCACGTTCGGTATGCATACATTACCCCGCTAGTTCGAACTAGTGGGGTAATGTAGACATACCCTAACATTCTGCAGGACAGGGTGGCCACTTCCCCAAACAAGGCCTCCCCTGGAGCAACTAGGGGAGCTCAGCCTCGGCCCTCCCTCCCCGGAGGAACCACTGCCAGAGAAGTGCCACTCTCACCACCACAGATGGTCTCAGTGAGCCCTCGGATATTCCTCCCAACCTCCTGTCCTGAGTCCTGCACCTCCCACCTGCCTTGACTTCAGCCCCCCCAGTGTCCTTCCTTCAGCCCCCCACTGAGCCTCTCCTTACCCCAGCCGGAGCTCAGCCTCGGCCCTCCCTCCCCGGAGGAACCACTGCCAGAGAAGTGCCACTCTCACCACCACAGATGGTCTCAGTGAGCCCTCGGATATTCCTCCCAACCTCCTGTCCTGAGTCCTGCACCTCCCACCTGCCTTGACTTCAGCCCCCCCAGTGTCCTTCCTTCAGCCCCCCACTGAGCCTCTCCTTACCCCAGCCTTCATTTTACAAAAAATGCAATCACAGAAATAAAGCAGGCACAATGCTCATTTCTTTTCCAAAAAACAAAAGAAAAATCATTCAGTTAACAACCCGAGCAGCATTGGGACACCTGCTAGTTAATGAATGTTGAGAATTTGAAGCTTCTCAGAGCAAAAATCATCTTGTGCCTTTCCCCTGCTTTTTGAGTTGGCTATCGATGGCCAAAGAGGCTTTTTTTGCATTTGAAATGCAGGTCCTGTCTGGCATGGAAGAGCACGGTAAAGGGAGAACTAGTGAAGTGACACCACAAGTAGAGCGGAGGGAAATATTTCCCATGAATAGTTTATTTTGCCAAAAAAGATATATAGTTTTGAGTCAATTCCCACAGTGGGTTGCAATCCATTGAATAGTTTCAGCCATAATAAAACAATAATACAATTTCAGGCTAGGTTTACAAGAGGATTGTAGGAGACAGCAGCTAGCCCCACCCAATAGCCAAATGATCAGTGCACCAGGTTCGAACCCCTGCTCTGGAACAATGCTAATGAAAACCAGAGGTGGTACGGAGCTTGGAAGCACCAACAGCACATGGAACCCAACAGTCAGGGGCTAAAGCCAAAGCTACCCTGTGGCGCCTAAGGGGCTGCAAGGATGGATATCCGCAGCAAGGAACATGTCAGGTTGTGGATCCAGCCAGGATCCAAAAGAACTGTGTCCCCATCTGAAGGGTGTGCAACAGGGTCTGCCTGCTTGTGAGCGCCCATCTATGGCTGAGGGGCATTGGGTAAGCGCTTTGACTGGCCGTCTGTGACAAAGGAAATATTGGTAAGTGGCCTGGGATCAGGCTTCTTCTTGCCCCCTTGTGGTGGCTGCTGGGGGGTTGGAGGGGACCCAGGCCCAACCACTCCCGAGTCCTGGCCCAGGGACCCTATAAGTAGAAGGTGCCTGCTACGAATCTTCACCATCTGCTACTTTGTTGTTTCCTGGGCCACTTCCCCAGGATGTTGATCTGGCTGGTCGCCTCAGGGTTCTGAGGTTGAGTTCTCAATAGACCCTGGCCAGGATGCTATCAATTCTCATAGTCAGCTTGTGGCTAGTCTTCAGCCACTGGACCTGGGCCTCCTGCAAGGAGGTGTAACAGTTAATTCGAACTAAAGACTTAGTTCGAATGTCTACATTAGCCACCCTAGTTTGAACTAGGGAGCTAGCGTAGACATACCTTTATAGTCCTAGCCATCACAGCCTCCTCTGGCAAGGAGTTCCACAGGTTGACTACGCACTGTGTGAAGTACAGAATAAATAAATTTTATTAATAAAATAAAGAAATAAAATAAAGAAATTTTATTAGTTTTAAACCCGTTACCCATTAACTTTATTTGGTGTCCTCTAGTTCTTGTATTATGGGAACTAATGAAGAACTTTTCCTTATTCACCCTCTCCACACCACTCATGATTTTACATACCTCGATCATATCCCCCCTCAGTCTCCTCTTTTCTAAACTGAAAAGTCTCAGTCGCTTTAACCTCTCTTCATATGGGACCCGTTCCAAACCCCTAATCATTTTTGTTGCCCTTTTCTGAACCCTAAGGCTAAAATATCTTTTTTGAGGTGAGAAGACCACATCTGTACACAGTACTCAAGATGTGGGAGTACCATAGTTTTATACAGGGGCAGTAAGATATTCTGGGTCTAATTTTCTATCCCTTTCTTAATAATTCCTAGCATCCTATTTGCCTTTTTGACTGCCGCTGCACACTGTGTGGAAGTTTTCAGAGAACTATCCACGATAACGCCAAGATCTCTTTCCTGATTTGTCGTAGCCAAATTAGCCCCCATCATACAGTACGTATAGTTGGGGTTATTTTTCCCAATGTGCATTACTTTACACTTATCTACATTAAATTTAATTTGCCATTTTGTTGCCCACTCACTCAGTGTGGTGAGATCTTTCTGAAGTTCTTCACAGTCTGCTTCTGTCTTGACTATCTTAAACAGTTTAGAATCATTCGCAAACTTTACTACCTCGTGGCTTACCCCTTTCTCCAGATCATTTATGAATAAGTTGAACAGGACTGGTCCCAGGAATGACCATTGGAGGACACCACTAGTTACCCCTCTCCATTTTATTCTATAAACCCCCTGAATCCATCTTATTCTATAAAACTTTAACAGAGAGAAAGCTCATAGGTTAGCTCTCTTTATCAATGTAAGAGAGATATGCACAGTTGTTGCTCTCTCCCAGGTAATAATTACTTACACTGGATTTGATCATTAAAAAAAGTGTTTTATTACATATAAAAAGTAGAATTAAAGTGATTGCAACTGAAAACAGACAAATCAAAGCAAGATATTAAGCCAAAATAAACAAAACGCACTAGCTAAGCCTAATACGATTTAAGATGTGTATTTAGTATGTTTCCATGCCGTTCACATAGTAGCAGGTGAACAGAAACTAACGGGTTCCCCTACTCACAAAAGGTGGAGTACTTGACGCCAGCCAGAGCTCTTCTAAGCGTTCGATTTAGGGATCCACACTTGACTCACTAAATCAAATGCCAGATCAACTTCTGGGGCACTGATCTTTTGAGTAGTGTAGACATGCCATTAGTGCGGGAGATCAAGATACCTCCTTTTCTGAAGCATAGGGATCTTCCACAAAAAGAGATTTTTGCGTAAACAAGAAACATCCACACTACTTATTTTTGCGCAAAAACCCCTAGAGAAAAAACGGATTGGAAGAGATTATGCAAATGAAGTGAGAAAATGCTAATCCACGCTTCGTTTGCATTGCCTCTTCTGACAAAACTTGGGAGTGTAGAGTGGCCTGTGGAAACAGCCTGCCTGCCGCTTGTGTCTACATTGTCAGGTGCAGGTGCCACAGCCTCCATGGGGGGCAGCATTGAGTTAGGAGCTGAAAGGCTTGCACTTGATGCCAATTCCCTTATGGGAGACCTGCTTGATCATTGGCAGCAAGGATCTTGGTGCCGTGTCTCTCTATAACACCAGCACCAGTGTGTGGTTGTGCCGGTGAGAGCTCCCTGGTTCCAATGATGCTCTTTCTGACACTGGGGCTGAGCAAGATGTGACGGGTGCAGTGCCAGGGGTGTTCATCTTGTCCCCTCTGCTCACTCTAGGGGATGGAGTTGGGGGTGGGGTTTAGAGGAGGATGATCCCTTCTTAGCCCATTTCATGGGGCAATGGTGAAGCGGCTCTTTCTGGGAGTCTGTCCCACTGGCAGAGAGCACTCGGGCTGCATTACCTTCTTAAATAAAATCTCTTGGCGCTGGAGCTCCCTATCCTTCCTGGCTCTCGCTGTGAGACTGTGGCACAGTTCTCATTTCTGGGGTACGTGGGCTTCCTCCAAGCAGTGGATACAAGCCACATATTTATTGAAGACCAACATTGCCTCCTGGTACAACTGCCATTATTTAAAGCCAGAGGAACCCACAAAGGTCATAGAGGCATCTGTTTTGTTTGGCTGTTGCCCTGCCTCCCAGTTTATTTTTGTTATTATTGTTGGTTTTTGGTTTTTTGAGGGAGGGAGGGATTGCAGTAGGGTTCCCTGCTGTCTGCGGGGCAGCTTCGTAAGGAGCTGACAGGATTTTTTTTTTAAAAGGAGGAGGCATGGAATCAGAGAAGTAGTTAGGGAAAGGAAAAAATTAGGGTCCCTCCCTCAACCCACACCTGAAAACAGAGAGCTCCATCTGTGACCGAGGATGGCAAAAGAGGAACTGAAGGAGGGGGGGAGACGGACAACATGCGTGAGGTGCCAAGTTGAATGCAATGTGAGACTCCGTTTGCAGCTGTGTGGCCTGCTAACTGTTGAAAAAGCTCCACTCCATGGCTCCAGGATGGCCCTACATCTTACGTGGAGCACCCACAGCGACATTGTCCAAAGAATTGTTCTCCTTTGCCTCTGAGGACAGGACAAGAAGCAATGGCCTTTACCTGCAGCAAGGGCGGTTTAGGTTGGACAGTAGGAAAACGTTCCTGCCTGTCAGGGAGGTTAAACACTGGAATAAACTGCCTGGGGAGATTGTGGAATCCCCATCCCTGGAGAGATTTAAGAGCAGGTTAGGATCTAGACAGTGCTTGGTCCTGCCATGAGGGCAGAGGACTGGACTCAATGATCTCTGGAGCTCCCTTCCAGTTCTAGTGTTCTATGATTCTCCCTGCTAGGCTGCAGGCCAAGGAGGAGGGTGACAAGGAAAGAGCAGAGGTGCAGTGAGAGGGGGAGGGGAAAGAGGACATGAGTGGGGAGGGGGTGAAGCAACCACTCTCTCTTGCTGGATAGTATACAGGGAGGGTGGGTGCTAGAGACTGGACTTGATACTCTCTCAGGGCCCTTTTCAGTTTTAGGGTTCTATGATTCCATTTAGTGTAGTGTAGTATAGTGTAGACTGTCTATCCATTCATGGGTCTATTGGCTCAAAAACTCCTCCAAAGTGGTAAGAGTTTGGGGCTGTTTGGTGAACAGTTTCTACTTAACACAAATTAAAGCTAGATTAGGGTTTGGTTGTACCAGGACAAGTGATCCGTCCCATCACTCCAATGTACCTTTCTGGTGTAGGAGAAATGTTACCGATTTGTATATGTTTTCTTGTGTTCTTTTGCCCTAAATTAGAAGAAAGGCATCAGTGGAGAAAGGGCCACAGGGGAGCTTGTAACTGCTGCCATATCCCTGTGTACAGAGCAGAAGCAAAACGCAGGCACTGGTTTTTAGGACTGACTTGCTGGGACACTATGGTGCACAGAAGAGAACTTAAATGCCAAGTCAACTGGGATTAAGACATGGCCCAAAACATGGAGCCATGAGGCAGCTAAAGACAAAGGTGGTATACAAGAGCAGTTACTCTGAAACTGTGACATCTGCACTACAAATTGTCACATATCCCAGCATTAGGGAAATTCACAGCTAGGACCAGACAAAACTCTGGAGGCAGGGTAAGACACAAGGAACCAGGCTACAGCTCCCAGAGATCATGGAGGGGAGCAGAACCAAGCTTGCCCCATCTCATTTCCATTTAGCTCACACGTCCCCTCCCACTTCACATTCTTCTTCCTACGTAGGGGCATCAGGTTTGCTGCAGAGCCATTTTCTTGCCCTGCTGCAGATGGAGCTGCTGACATTGAGGTCTTCATCCAGGTAGGCACAGTCGGCTCCTCCTTGTATTCCAAACCTGCAACCCAGAGGCAGTCGAAGCTAGAGTCAGCGCCCGCCAACAGAGACCGGGGGAGACGCCCCAGTTGAGGGAGATTTGCTGCTGCCTGAGGATACTCCCCTCCCTGAACCAGCCCCAGGCAGGAGGGGAGGTGAAAGCAGCCACTGTTTCATTTCCATCAACTCCCACCCAACACAGAGAAAGACTCACCGATGGTCGAACTCGGTGCCATTGACCCATTTCCAGACCCCATCTGTGCCCTTCTGGAGGCCGATCCAGTGGTCCAGTCTGCCTGGGTAGGGCAGCTGGGACTTCTTCCAAATGCAATGAAAGCAAGCAGCTGTGTTAGACCCTGGCTCTGTGCTGCCCCCACAGCCCACTGAGCCCTGGGCATCCAGGGATTTCTAGAAACATCAGCCTTTGTGATTGGGTGAAGGGATCAGCTCAGTGTTAACCCTTCACCCTCTCTGCTCCTGGGGCTGTGGCACCTACTGGGTGAAGCAGGAATTGAGCAGCAAGCTCTGTGTCTGCCCAGCAGCCCCTTCTCAGGGCGCAGCAGGGCCAGGGGGGAAAAGGAGCTGAGAAGGGGGCAGACAGACCCCTGCCATCAGGGCAGAGCAGTGGAGGGCAGGGAGCACAGGACTGAATTGTCCCCACCCTAGCCATGAGGGAACCCTGGGGCTTTGCAGAGCTGCGGAGCAAAGGTAAAAGTAACACATTACATTCAAGCGCTGTCTCTGTGCAACCTCCACTTTGGGGAGCAGGGTCAGGGCAGGAAGTTGGGGAGGGGGCTAGGATAGGACCCTACCTAGCACCTGCCCTAGGAAGATGCAGGACCATGGACAATTCCCCACCAGCACTCCAGGCTCCATCTGACCCCACCTCTTCCCACCCCTACTCTATCCCTTTTCCAAGTCCCTTTTCCTCAAGGGGCAGGGCCCAGGAGATTACCGGGGTGAGGGGAGCTGGGACCGGCAACAGGGGATGCTCCACCCCTGTATTCACTGCGGTGCTAGGAAACAATGTGATTTGGCCCCAGCCCAGCTCCCAGGCATGTACCTCAGGAGAGTGGAGCGGTCTGGGATGGGGATGGCCCAGAACACGAGTGTTACAGGCTGCAGCCAGGGCCCCAGGCTGAGGAGGCCTCAGGCTCCAGTCCCTAAAGCCCCTTTCTTCTTCGGGCCTTACTGCTGGGCCTGCAGCCAGCTCTGCCCCGCACAGGGAGAGTCTCAAACTGCGGCGCTGAGCAGCTGGAGGGTGGGGAAGGCTGGAGCCCCAGGCAGAACCGCACCGACTCTGGCCCGCAGCCCGGGAGGTACCCGACTCCCCTCTGCCGTTCAGGGGCTGGGCCCAGCCTGACTCCAGCCCAGCCTGAGGTGCCGGCGATTGCCGGGCTTGGCACAAAGCGTCCGTGCAGCTCACCAGCTGCTGCAGACTCTCAATCGTGGCCAAGGAGGCAGCGTGTGAGGAGCAGTTCTTCTGGCTGTCGGTCCAGTTCCCTTCGGCCTTCGAAAAATAATAGAATTTCCCCTGGATTCTGATCCAGTTCTCCGGGCACCCAGGAGAAGTAGGGGAGTAGGGAGGAGGCTCTATAGATCTTTCCACTAGGAAAAAGAGAAAAAGAGGAAGAGAAAGAGAAGGGGAGAGAGAACAAGAGAGAAAGAGAGCCCAAGAAAGAGAGAGAGATCATTCCCATCTCTCAGTGGAGAACAAGCAGGCACAGGAGCACAGGGACTCTGAGAACAGATCAGACCCGTGGGTTACACGGCTGCTCTCTGAGAGCCGCCAGCACCTGCTGCTTCATAGCAAATGGCAACAAATACCCCGGCAGGCAGTGAGGGGACAGCCTGCCCCAGGGCACTCTGCCCCCTGCCCTCCTCCATGCAGGCCTCAAAGCAGAAAGGTTCACACACAGGGGTGACTGGCATGGAGGCACATGAGGGGAGGGGGCACAGACCACGTGACCCTCACCCAGCCCAAGGAAAAGCCAAATCCCCTGAACCTGAGACCCTGCCTCTCCCTCTACTTGCTCTGCCATCTGCCCCCCCAACCTTGCTCCACCCCTTCCCTCCTCTTGCTCCGACCTCCCCCCCCGGGGCCAGGAGCAAACAGTCATGTAACTGCAAAGATTTCATGCAATTACACAACTATTCAGTTACATGACATTTAGCATCCCCTGGTACCAACAAGTTCCCAAGGCTGCTAGTTAGGGATTTAATGCAGCAGTAAATCGGTCAATTCCACGGAATGGCCACTAGGGGGAATCACACCCCAAACACTGGGCGTGACCTGCTGGTCTTGCTCCTAAAGACCATTTAAATCTTAAATCTACTACAGCTCCTGTGCAATGTGGAATGGGAGGGAGGTGGGCAGCCTTTGGTGAAGAAAGAGCAGGTTAAGAATGATTTTAAAAAGCTAAACGTACACAAATCCGTGGGTCCGGATTTAATGCATCCGAGGGTGCTGAGGGAGTTGGCAGATGTCATTGCAGAGCCTTTGGCCATTGTCTTTGAAAACTCATGGAGATTGGGCACAGTCCCAAACAACTAGAAAAAGGCAAATGTAGTGCCCATCTTTAAAAAGGGGAGGAAGGGCAATCCAGGGAACTACAGACCATTCATCCTCAACTCAGTCACCGGAAAAATCATGGAGGGGATCCTCAAGGAATCCATTCTGAAGCACTTGGAAAAGTGGAAAGTCATCAGGAAAGGTCAACATGGATTCACCACGGGCAAGTCATGCCCAACCAACCTGATTAGCTTCTATGATGAGGTAACTGGCTCTGTGGACATGGAAAAGTCGGTGGATGTGATATATCTTGACTTTAGCAAGGCTTTTGATACGGTCTCCCACAATATTCTTGCCAGAAAGTTAAGGAAGTATGGATTGGATACATGGATTGTAAGGTGGATAGAAAGCTGGCTAGATTGTCAGGCCCAATAGGTAGTGATCAAAGTCTCCATGTCGGGTTGGCAGTCAATTTCAAGTGGACTGCCCCAAGGATTGGTTCTAGGGCTGGTTTTGTTCAACATCTTTATTAATGACCTAGATGAAAGGATGGACTGCACCCTCAGCAAGTTTGTGGACACCACTAAGCTAGGGAGAGAGGTAGATATGTTGGAGGGCAAGGGTAGGGTTCAGGGTCACCTAGATTAATTGGAGGATTGGGCCAAAAGAAATCGGATGAGGTTTAACAAGGACAAGCATAGAGTCCTGCCCTTGGGATGGAAAAATCCCAAATACTGTTATAGGCTGGGGACCAACCAGCTAAGTAGTAGTTCTGCAGAAAAGGACCTGGGGGTTGCAGTGGATGAGAAGCTGGATAGGAGTCAACAGGATGCCCTTGTAGCCAAGAAGGCTAATGGCATATAAGAGGAGCATTGCCAGCAGACCTAGAGAAGTGATTATTCCCCTTTATTCAGCACTGGTGAGGCCACATCTGGAGTATTGTGTCCAGTTCTGGGCACCCCCACTACAAAGAGGAATTGGACGCATTGGAGAGGGACCAGAGGAGGGCAACCAAAATGATGAGGGGGCTGAAGCACATGACCTATGAGGAGAGGCTGAGGGAGTTGGGCTTGTTTAGTCTGCAGAAGAGAAGAGTGAGGGGGGATTTGAGAGTAGCCTTTAACTGCCCGATAGGTTAAAAACGGGAGTAGAGAGAGGCTGTTTTCAGTAGTGACAGATGGCAGAACTAGGAGAAATGGTGTCAAGTTACAGTGGGGGAGGTCCAGATTAGACATTAGGAAAAACTATTTCACTAGAAGGGTGGTGAAGCATTGGGATGGGTTCCCTAGGGAGATGGTGGAATCTCCATCCCTAGAGGTATTTCAGTCCCAGCTTTACAAAAGCCCTGGCAGGGATGATTGAGTTGGGGTTGGTCCTGCTTTTGGCAGGCGGCTAGACTCGATGACTCCTGAGGTCTCTGCCAGCCCTAGGGATCTATGGGGATGGACAGGGATGGTGTCACTAGACTCTGTCAGAAGCTGGGAATGGGCAACAGGGGATGGAGCCATTGACAATTCTGTTTTATTCACTTCCTTTGAAGGACCTGGCATTGGCCATTGTCAGAGGACAGAATACTGCCTTTGGTCTGGCCCAGGATGGCCATTTTGAATTGATTTACGCTTTTTCTCCAGCTAAAGGAAACTCCTGGGGGAATTCTGTGTCACTCCAGGCGCGTCCCTTCAGGAAAAGGAATTTCTGATGGAGCAGCAAAGGAAAATCTCAAGAGAGGTCATGTGCCCATGTCAGTCCATACGTGCAGAGAGAGTCCCCAAGTACAGAAAGTAGCAATAGAAGGGGCTGTGATCGGGAACAGAGCGACTGTCTCGTGTTCATTGCCTGGGTGACTGGGACCCAGGAGATCCAGACACAATTCCAGGCCATGTCCGACTCCCTGACTGACACAGGGTGAAAATCGTGGGTCTGGCCCCAGGCAGGGACAGAGGCATTTGACAACCAGCCTTGCAATGCAGAATTTGTATGGGTATGTCTACACTAC